TCGTATTTTTTGATTTAACTTGCAAAGTGCTTGCTAATATGCGAGGTTTGTGTAATGTACATGTAGTACTGGTTGTATAACTTTTTGGGCGATCTTGCATGTGATTTTTATGTGCCAAATGACAGTTCTAAATGGCTCTTTTGACCAAAAGATGTGAGAGGTTGACATGCATATGCTTTTGCACATAACACTGATTTTTTAGATTACTTTCAACTACTTTATGAACATCAACGTTGGCTATAGGAAATGCAAGATTTTAGCTCTCAAGCCTTGCAAGAGAATATAATAGCCTCAGTAACTTGGGTTATGGATATTGTCAGTAATCCCTATGTTCACAAATATAAGATGTTCTAACTTTGTTGTGTATCTGATGTAGAAATGTTTTAGTGTCTTTGTTCACTCATTTCTGTGCGTATATGTAGTCTTCTATGGAGTAAAATATCCAAAATCATCTTATATTTGTGAATGGAGGCAGTAATAAAATATTGGTTTCCGTTTGAATTAGAACTAGGTCTGCTGTGAAGATGAAGTTCTCAAAGTCATGTCATATGAACTGGAAGACCTGCGGATGTGCACTACTAAACTATCCAGGTATCGTGTCCTTGTAGCTGCATGTCATGAACAAGTATTTTGCTATAGTATTGTTCTCAGGCGTGTTCTCGAGGGTGTACTTCACCACAACAATTTTGTAGATGCGCCTTCAATTACGAAGTGTGTGGTTCTTGTAATGTTTTTCGACAAATCTGATGCGACTTGTCTTCATCGTCATATTTATGAATGGAAAGACCACACTATTAGGTTCTCCAAGGGTGACGAGATGGTGAAGGTGCCGATAGACATCTCTCACGAAGTACATGGCTTAGTCAGTTTTGTGGGGCACATCCCGTAGGTCGGTGGCTAGAAATAGTCTGCAGAGTTTAATTAGTGCAACTTTGCTTATGTGTAGTAAGTAATATTGTTCAATACTTGATTTGTGTGTGCGAACCTTGTATGAGTTAGTACTGTCGCTTTTGTTTTGTGGTGAATCCCGAGAACACTCTAACATGAACAATGCAAAGGATATTTTGGATGAAAGGGGGGGTCAGAGGAGAATACCTTCTGGGAGAGATTGAGGCACAAATCCACGGAGAAAATTTTCAGATCTATGAGGTTTGAATGGGGGATTGAAAGGGGGAGAGGGAGAAAGCGCGGCCGACCCTTTCTATTCCTGGCAGGAATGAGTGGGATACGGTGGGCCGACTTGTGTCGGTCACTAACTGACATGATAACGTCTACGTGATAAGCGCTACACAATATACTATAGCGCCTAAAACTGGGGCCCTACCTAACCAGGGGTTGGCCCCGCCTAACCCCGGGGTGCCACGCTGGCTAGCTCTGTAAGCCTGTCAGACGGACGCTATGTTGTGTCGTATAATGCTGATGCGTTGGGCGTTATCAAAAAAAGGTTAGTCGGTGAAATAGTTTCGTCCATGATTTATTTTATGAATTTGTTAGAGAAACTCCAACGCGTCGACCCAAACGAACGGTGGTTTTGTCTGTTTGGGACGGCCGTCCGCTCGGCGTCCGCTCTGTTTGAGATTTGGGCCGGCGGTGCGCCCAACGCGCCGACTCATATATGCCGGTGTGGCCGGCTGACTGCCCTTTCTCAACAAATAGCACATATAGTCCACAACCAAACATATAGTCCACAACCAAACATTATTTCACACATAAATTTTACATTATTTCACAAGCAAACATATAGTCCACAACCAAATAAATAGCATAGTTTTATAAGCCAAATAAAAGTAAAATAGTCTCACATAGTTTTACAAGCCGAATAAAAAAGATACATCTATTGGTTGCCAACATGAATCCACATATGCTCAACCAAATCATTTTGCGGTTGCATGTGAGTTTCCTAATCACGCATGTCATGATGAAATTGAGTGAACTGTTCAGATGTTGCCGCTCCTCCATGCTCAGGCACAACATTCTCACCCTGAAACTGGAACCCTTGATCGTAGAGACGTTCCGGGCGCTCACCTTCTACAATTATATTGTGCATGATCACACAAGCAGTCATCACCTCCCACAGTTTCTTCGTGCTCCAAGTCTTAGCAGGATACCGAACAATGCCCCATCGAGATTGCAAAACACCAAAGGCATGCTCGAAGTCCTTCCTAGCACTCTCTTGCTCTTGGGCAAATCTTTTTCTCTTCTCTCCGACAAGGTTGGGGATTGTCTTCACAATAGTGGTCCATTGAGGATATATAGTGTCACCCGAGTAGTATCGAGGAGTGGGGGTGGGAAGCTTTCGGATCACCGGCGGCAAGACGGCGGTGGCGGCGATGTGGGAGGTGGCGGCATCACAGGGGTGGATGTTGCGGCACCGACAGCTGGCAGAGGCACCAAAAAAATGGACGATGGCGTCGGCGATGAAGGAGGCGGGCGAGGGTTTGCTGTTGGAATGAGAGAGGGTGACCAATGTGCCATCGACCAGTGGGCCAGAGGGAGGAATAGGCGGGCGCGCACGTCCGTCTCGTGTCCGCGTCGACGCAAATCAGGCTCAAAAATGGGCCGGGAATGGGTGGGCAGACGGACGAAGAACGGACACATGTTCGTTTGGAACGACGCGTTGGGCCAACTTTTCTGTTCGCACCGACCTAAACGGACACGCATGGACGAAATGAGTCGCGCTTTGGAGTTGCTTTTACGCTTTAGGTTATTTTTGTCAATTAGTCCGCCGCACCTAGTTTGGTTGGAGCGGGACGGAAAAGAGGAAAGCGGGATTTCAGTGACATTAACCACATACCTGGCTCTCCCGACTAGTCGAGTAGTACTTCCCGCAGTTGCTTTTACACCTTTTTAGGTTATTTTTGTCAATTAGTCCGCCGCACCTAGTTTGGTTGGAGCGGGATGGGAAAGAGGAAAGCGGGATTTCGGTGACATTAGGTCAACTCCACCGCGCGATCCCAAACGGACGTCCGTTTTGTCCGAATTTTGTCCCTTTGGGGCACCGATGGGTTCGCCCATGTCCGCGTTTGTCTAATGGGTCGTGGGTGCGCCCAACGCGCGGCCGCACCCCAAAACCTGTTCGGGGTGGACGTGAATAAAAAAATTTAAAAACTTAAATGAAATGACTAAAAAGGTAAATAAACGCAGTTAAAAAAACATAAAACATATATATAGGGGTTACGGCCACAAAACGCCCAGTTTATCAATCCACTTAAACGGCCCAGTTCATAATTAACATAAAACAAAAAAATGCCTCCCGCGCGCTCCTGTCGCGCCCGTCGATGCCGTGGCCGTGGCCGTATTCACTGGCCGCCGGTGTCGTCATCGTCGCTGACGAGGTCGATGTATTCCGGCGGCGTCCACAGGTGGGCCGGCGGTCCGTGGTGCACAGGGGCGGCAGGCTGCAAGGTGGCCGGTGGTGTCTGCACCACTTCCTCCCGAGGCGAGGCCTCCCGCTCCGGCGACCGCGGTGGGCGTGGGGCACCAGTTCACGGCCCTCAGGGCGGCCGCCATCTGCTCAGCGGAGCACGACCAGCTCCATCCCTGGCCCACCAGGTCAGGGTGGAACGCGGCTACCGGCGGCTCCTCCACCACCTCCTCCCGAGGCGCCATCTTCGGCTCGGGGATGGCGACGTTGCCGGCCGCGGAGAGGGCCATCATCGCCTCGAGGTCCGCCGATTGGCGCTCGTTGTGCGTGTGCATGGAGTCCTCCATCACACGCGCCATGAGCCGGGCCTCCTCCTCCGCCGCCATGCGAGGAGGTGGGGGTGGCGATGAAGATGGCGACGGCGATGGCGTGGGCGTCAGGCCACGGGCCCGCGTACGCCCGCGCGCCTGGGAAGCCGCTCGGGGCTCACGTGGCCGTCGCGGCCCCGTTGATGTGCCGGCGAAGAACGACGCCCGCCGCACGTCGTGCTCATCATGGAGCCACGTGTCCCACAATGGTGAGTCGGGGTGTACCTCTCGTCGTAGTAGAGGTCGTCCGGGAGGAGGCGGCGGCGGCGCTCGATCTCCTGGCGGTGCGCACGGCCACTCTGCGGGACGGGCGGGATCGGCACGCGGTCGGTCGACAGGTGCCAGTTATTGGGGAGGTGGACGTCGCTCCAGGGCAGCGGCGTCCTCGTCTCCCAATAACGGCGGCAGACGGCCGCCTCGATGTAGTGCCGGTGGCGCTCGCCGGCGGCCGCGGGCGCGATGGAGAAGGCGGGCAGTGCGGGGGCCCGACGTGGTGGCGATGGCGACGCGGGCTCCTTTTTCTTCACCGAGCCGCGGCGGTGTCCCGTAGCCTCGCGGTCGTGCTTGCCTTTGCGGCCGTAGTTCCAGAGGCCCATGGCTGCGGGCGACCGGCCAGCGAGTTCTTCGCTAGGGTTTGGGTTTGGCGCTGTCGGGTTTCGAGGAGGTTGCGGGGTGGCGTGGGGCAGTGTGGACGACGACCCGTCCACGCTTCCCACTTAAAGAAGGACGACGACCGTTCGACGTGCGGATGACAGGTGGGGCCGCCCGCTCATGAGCATTGATGTGGGCGGATGGAAGGTAGGTGACCGCCTGCCACGCGGCCCTGACGCGGACGAGGCGCACGTCCATTTGGTGTCCGTCGCGATCTAAACCCGGCGCAAGTTTGCGCTCGAAATGGGTCGGCTCGGACACGAACAAACAAAATGGATCCAGGCCGTCGCGCGTTGGGCCGCCTTTATTGTCCATTTTACCTCAAACGAACGGGTCAAACAGGATAAGTTCACGCGGTGGAGTTGGGCTTAACCACATACCTGCATACCTGGCTCTCCCGACTAGTCGAGTAGTACTTCCGTCGCCCCGCCAGAGTAGCCACGCGTCAGTCGCACCAACTGTTCCATCCCCACACCACACCTCGGAAGTCGAGTTGCTCTCACCACCCAGCACAAAAGGCACCCTCCCCCATCGTCGCCTCCGCCAGCCTTCTCCCTCCCTCAGACCGTCGCACACTCCCAAGAACCCACGAGCTCCAAAGCAGCTCGCTAGCTCCCATGGGGCGCGGCCGTCCCAAGAGGCGCCCTCCGAATCCCTCCGAGTCGTCGGAGGACGAGGCGTTCATGATGCCGATCGGCGCGGCGGTGGAGGTGCGCAGAGACGACCCCGGTTTCGCCGGCTCCTTCTACGAGGCCACCGTCGCCAGTCACCTGCTCTCAGACGGCGGCCACGGGCGCTACACGGTGTCCTATTCCACGCTCCTGGGCGAGGAGGCTGAGCCGCTCAGGGAGACCGCAGCCGCCGCCAACGTGCGGCCGCGGCCGCCGCCCGAGGAAAGGGAGTTCGTGATTCACGAGATGGTGGAGGCGTTCCACAGCGACGGGTGGTGGGCCGGCGTAGTCGCCGCCGTTGTCCCGCCAACGGTGACGGGAGATCGCCGGCGGAGGGCGTACAGGGTCACGTTCCCCACGTTGCGGGAGACGCTGCAGTTCGAGGAGACGGATCTGCGGCCGCACCGCGTGTTCCAGTGTGGGCGGTGGGTCCCGGCTGCAGAGGTGGTAAGTGGTGGGCTGGATGAGTCTCCCTCTGAGGCTCTGACCTCTGCTATACAATCTTTGCGTCCATCTGTTGGATTAAGATTGTTGATTATGGATAGAAACATTTCACTTTAGTATTTTCAGGTGCTGGGAGTATATTCACTGCGCTTCTGTCCTCAAATCCGAATGCATTGTTTTCTTTGCTTTTGTGGTTACCCCCTAATGGATTGTTGCATGCAACACTTTGTTTATCAAATCTAAAACATGAATAATCATCCTTTAAATTATCTAAACTCTCTTGAATGGGTTAACTATTTTCTAAAAAATTAAAACTAAAGTTACGTGCAAATAAATAAAGCAACTTGGCGACTTGCATTGTGAACTGTACAGACTTAAATTTGTCACCGAAATAAGAGACTTAAAGCGAGTATATATTTTCATTTATTTGTTTTATTTTTATTTTATTTTGAGTTGGATATTTGTCTTCATTTTGGACTATGCTATTTTATTCGGACAAGGCCATTCCATAGCATCAATATCCAGGTGAGAAGACTTGATCTTGGTCGCATTCGCATACTGATCCATGATCATGGTCACAATTAATGCAGTCTAGCAAACTGGAGTACATCTACATTACTATTATATTAGGCTCACTTAAAATGGCTTATGCTTACACTACCCAGACTTGTCAGAATAGTTGATGCAAATTTAAGAACTTTAAGGGCCAAAAACGTCAGTGCCTCAATATTGATTTTCCGTACATGCAGTGCAATTTAAAAAATTGAGGGTTTTCAGAATAGATGCACTCGTATTGAATTTATATTCCAGTTGGTGCGGCGGCGTCTGCGAGCTTATAAACTGAATTTTAGAATTGGCTCTAGGATGAATCCCTAGAATACGTCTTACTGAGATATTTGAAATATCATGGTCCTCGAAATTGGCATTTGAAATGCGCATATGTGTGGAGAACTTTCATGGTAACTGACATTAAAGTGTGGAGAAAAGCTGACTTTCTCTTTCAACGTCTGTTAAAGAAGGTATTGTTTTCTTGATAATGATAAGGAAGGAAATGAAGTGTTTAGTACTCTCGTTGTGTACAGGGCAAGGGAAGTCCTTTGTTCAGTGAGGGGAATCAAGTTGAAGTGAGTCATTTTGCAAGAAACTTTAGTGGATCCTGGAATCCAGCTACTGTTCTTAAAGTGATTGGTGCTACACATTTTCTAGTACAGTACATGCATATTGGGAAGGATGATGAATCGGCCACTGAGATTCTAGATTCACAATATATCCGGCCATCACGCGACATCACCAATATGGATTCTAGGTACAGATTTTCTCCTGCATCTCATGTTGAGGTCCTTCATGAAGGTGGCTGGCGGCCTGCTATTATTGTGAAGGTTTTAGGTTCTGAAATCAACAAGAAGTATGTAGTGAACTTGAAGAATCCCAAGACAGACATGGATGACGTGGAACCTGTGGATGTTCTGACGGTGGAAAGTACGCAGCTACGGCCACGGTTTGACTGGGATGGTAAAAAATGGGTACGCTGCTTGAAAAAGGTACACATAGTGCATATTCCGTATTTTGTCTTCTGTCTTTCTTTTCTAGTGTTTTTTTCCTTGATAGAAAATATAATGCTATTTAGTTCTGTCATTGCATGTATTTCATAGCATTTTTTTAAGTGTGTATTCTATGAAGGAGCAGGTGGGCTCAAACAAACTATAGTTGACTTCAACAACTATATTATACTTAGTTTTTGTCATTCAGATTTCAAAGAAATTTGTCAATATTGCCTTTCTTTGGCTCCTTTTATCACTATTATTGCAACATGTTATTCACTTAGCCCACCTTTTTTGTTTCTGCAAATCATTTATCCCACCTTAATTTTGCACCGTTTGGATCAGGGCTAATAACACTTTCCATCTGTTGGTTCTTTAATCCGTTAAGCCTAGTTAATTGATAGACAATTAGAAATAGTCCTGTTACGATAGCCATATCTGCATCTTGTATGTTTAGGCAAACATATCTGCACTTGAAACAAGAAGCAGCTACAAATGAATTTGGAATATGCATGTTAATTTATTCGTAGTTGGAATATTATCCCTGCTCTAGGTTCCAAACAAACAATGATGTTGTTCAATGTTACCTCAAATCTGCACTTGAAGACTGTAGATTATGGTATATTGTACTGATATGTGTTATTTTTCCCTGTGTGCTAGCCTTCGCTCCAAACTTATGTCCATGAGATGCATCCATTCCAGAAACCTTGTAATGGTCCTCGATTAACTTCTCGAAAAAGGCCAATTCCCGCCTTCTATGATGACTCGGATAAAGTAAGTAATAAACCTGGTTCTCGTCGTGACAAAAAGTTGAAGGATGAAGATGTGACATCAGAACAAATTTCTCCTGTTTTGTCCATTCGTAAGGAAAACAATGAAATTATTCATAAGCAAGGAAATGCAGCAGTGGCATTGAGATCTGGGTTGTCCCTTACTTCACTGCCACAAATGGTGGCATTTGGCTCTCTGAGTTCATCTACACTTGCTCCAGGCTGTCATCTTGAACAATCATCTTCTCAGATGATTATCGTACCCTCTATGGCACAAAATCGACAGATTCAGGCTTCTCTGTTTGAAGGTTTTGGTGAACCAAGACCTGTCCCACAGGGCCCACTATTAGGAACGCGATCACTTGGCTCAGATTTTCGCATCATTGAAGGGTCAAAAAATGTATTAAGCGGTCAGGATAAGCAATCAACTGTTGGAACTGGGACTGAACTGTCCAGGCAAATGGAGAAAGGTGTTTCTTCTCAAACAACAGTGGTTCTAGGGGAGAACCCTGAAACTGTGAGTTGTTACTTTTAACACACCCCCTTAATTATCTACCAGTCCTAACACCATTCGAATTTCGAAATATCATTTGTTCTTATTTTCCTTTACATTTGTAAATACTAGATACAGCCAATGAAAGGGATAACTGCTCCTGCTAAAGCTACTGAGGAAGACAGTAAGTTTCAGACTATTTAACGTATATTGGTACAACATACACTGCAAATACTAACTAGCAAATTTCTTGCAGTGGCAGAACTGCCTAATGATGTGACTGCTGGGTGTGAAACACTTCCAGAAATGGATGAACTGAGTTGTATTGACCCGACATCACGAAAGGACACCGGAGGTATGCTTTCTGATTCCTAACAGTTAGCAATGCGCACTGATTACAGCAAAGTCCAAGGCACTTTCACTATGTTATCACTAGCACTTGTACCATGATACTTCCATTTCCAGGTTCAGAAGCAGGTAATGGAAGAAATGATCTTGAGCAAGAGGGCTACACAGGTGAAGCACATGATTCTTGCTGTCCCTTGTTGTCGGTATCAGCAGCTGTGCATGAGAGTATCATGGACACGAATGGCCGGGTTTCAGAAGCTTTGGCATGCCAGCATCTTCCATTTGTGAAGACCTCCCCAATGTGGGCACACCTTGAGGGACTGGAAATATTCAGGAAAGCACCACAGCGACCAAATTTCCATCAGTTCGAGCAGCATGGTCAAGAGATCTGTGAAGGACTGGCATTAGGTTTGATGCTCTCTTTTGCTATTTTAGCAGAAAGCATAAACAGGCTGAATGCTCTGGACGATAGTAGACTACTCGAGCAGAAGATGACGGGCCTTGCTTTGCTTGAGGCAGATGGTTTTGATGTCAAGGACCTGAGATCACGCGTGGAAACTTTACTCCACGCAAAAAATAGTTGCGTTGAACCACAGGATTCCATGAGAAAGCTGGAGGAGAAGATTGCTCACAAAGAAACCAAGGACCAAGAACTTGGCACGCAAGTTCGGTCGCTGGCTATGGCTGTCCATCATCACGATCTACATGCCTATCTCATGCGCAACGTCATGCGGTCTACCATCACACAGAAGATGAACAATGCTATGGAGATCTCAAGGCTCAAGACAGAAGCGAACAAGCTTAAGAGATCGTGTCTATCCAAATCACCGTCGCCGTGCCACGGTGAGTTTGGAGGTGAGCAAGTCAGCACGTCTTGAATAGGTAGTTATCAGTGGTAAGTGGTGGAGAGCGCCATGCTAGATGTTGTGTAGATAGTTCGTAATGCTATCCTAGAGCTTGCCGTGCCGAGAGCGAGTCTTTTGTGTATGGGCTGTATATGTGGTTACTCTGGTATGTTGCAGCCCTCTGAAAAATAGATGTTGTAAAATAGATGTTGTGTAGATGGTCCGCAATGCTATCCTGGAGTTCGCCGTACTGGGGTGAGTCTAATGTGTACGGGATCATGTATATGTTGTTACTCGGGTATGTTACAGCCCTTTGTAAAATAGCATGTAAGTTGAACCTGGAGGTTAGTGATGTATTCTGTGTGTTCAGTAATCAAACTCGCAGCACTTTGTAGGTACTCCTCTCTCTGCTTCATTCGGAAGAAGCCTATTTCGAGAATATGGCAATAACTTCGTGTGTCCGAAAAAAAATTCAGATTTGGAAAGCAAAAGGTAGTGTTCGTGTATTATTGTAGTCCCATGTAATTTCATGTGGTAGTGAGACATTAATGCTAACTATTTCCAAAATTAAATATCGTTTCCAAAATCAAATATCGGTATACTTAGAGCATCTCCAGCCGCGCCCCCAACAGGCCCCTGAGGCCATTTTTTCGGCACTGACGTCTAAAAAACGACCCAGTCACGCCCTCAGAAGCTCATTTTTCGCCGGTTAGGCCCCTAAAAAATGACCCAGTCATGCCCTCAGAAGCTTATTTTTTGTCGGTTAGGTCCGAAACTGACGACAGCGGACCAAGGCCGACCCCGATGCGCTGGGAGGCGCCCGGGGCGCCGGCGCAATCGTTTTTGGCGCGAAAGAACAGCGGGCACGCCGAGTCAGCGACCCCCGCGCCTCGCCGTCCTCACATCGCCTCGGTTTCCCGCGGAGAATCTTGGGGGAATCAATGCCAAAGCTGTCGTCGGTCAGCCTTACATTAATTTCTCATGGGCAGCGCGGTCAGGCGACGCGCCCCCTCCCGCATCGCGTACACACGACACCACCTCTCGGCCGCTATATAAAGCAGCACCTCCCTTGCTGGTGGACACACCTGCCCGCAGCCCCTCTCTCTCCCCGTGCACAACCGCCGCCGACGAGCTATATTTCCTGTCCATCCCCGTTCACAGCTGCCGCAGACGATGGGCGAAAGGTTCCACGGCGATGGGGCGTCGGCCAATGGCTTCGGCCGCTGCTCTCTGCACGAGTGGGAACTCCATCTCCTACACGAAGCCAACTACCCGGTGCCTCCCGACATGTGCGCGCCAGGCGGTGGAGGCTCAGCACCGACGACGTCCCCGTCCCCCCGCTGCCCGGCGTCACGCGCCCTGACTACTTCCGCGCCGAGATCGAGCGTGCGCGAGCATCCCCGTCGGAGGAGCAGCGGGCCCTCTCGGTGTACGCCGCTGGCAACCACGAGGCATGGGCGGCGTACTTCGAACGCCGGTAGGCGGAGCGGCTGGCCTCCATCAACAATGCGCCGGTGGTGCGGGGGAGCAAAAACAGCGACGGTCGCGCCTGTGGTGGGGCGCCCCTGGCCGCATGCTCCACGTCATCCTCGAGCACCTCGAGGGCGGCAACAACCCGCCGTTGACGTAACCGGCTGCTCCTGTCCCATGCCGGAGTGGCGGCCAATGGATGCCGAGGAGGACCGGCTTCCCTTGCTCCTCCTCCCGATCCTCCTCCCACTCCTCCGGGTCGCCGGCACTCTTCAGCGTCAAGGCCGAGCCCGCGGATACGCCGTTAGGTCAGCGCACCCGCAACGCCGGCATCGTCATCAACGAGGGTGGGCGTGCCTCCTCCTCAGCTTCTCCCGCCTCGTCAAGCCGAAGACGGAGCCGGGGCTCACCGCAGTGAAGACGGAGCCGGGGCTCGACGACGACGCGGCCATAAAGTGGGCGCGGGAAGATTGGGCGCGGCTAGAGATGGAGCGCCAGTGCCGCGCCCTGGTAGAGATCACCGCGTGCCGCCGTGGGCACGACGAAGGGGCGTCATCGTGCTTGAAGACAGCGACGGCGACGCGCCACCACCGGACAACCCTGTCCGCCAGGGAGACCCCGGGCAGGGCTCCAGCAGTGTGAAGAAGGAGAAGGACGATGATGATGGCGGCGACGATGGCGACTAATAACCCACAAGTATAGGGGATCGCAACAGTTTTCGAGGGTGAAGTATTCAACCCAAATTTATTGATTCGACATAAGGGGAGCCAAAGAATATTCTCAAGTATTAGCAGCTGAGTTGTCAATTCAACCACACCTGTAAACTTAATATCTGCAGCAAAGTATTTAGTAGTAAAGTAATATGATAGTAGTGGTAATGGTAGCAAAAGGTAACGATAGCAAAAGTAATGTTTTTGGTATTTTGTAGTGATTGTAACAATAGCAACGAAAAAATAAATAAGCGAAGAACAATATATGGAACACTCGTAGGCAATGGATCAGTGATAGAGAATTATGCCGGATGTGGTTCATCATGTAACAGTCATAACCTAGGGTGACACAGAACTAGCTCCAATTCATCAATGTAATGTAGGCATGTATTCCGAATATAGTCATACGTGCTTATGGAAAAGAACTTGCATGACATCTTTTGTCCTACTGTGACGCCCAGATAATTAAGCTACAGTAATTCTCTGCTAATGATGCCACGTCACTTCGATTACTATCACTAATCTCGTGTTAGTTCGAAACTGATTCAAATTCAAATTCAATTAAAGGCAAATAATAAAAGTTTTCAAACAATGAAACCAAAATGTTCAAGGTGGGTCAAATAAATCATGTGTAAATACGATGGAGAAACCAAACCTTAATAACATGTTTAAGGGCTCTAAACTAATTAAAACAGCAGTGAAAACAATTAAACAAATACCTATTGGATTTTATAAAATATTAAGATATTTTATTATGGGTGAAGAATTGATGTAACAGCAGTTTGTTTATAAATACTACTTTAGGTACTAGTGGGGATTTTTGTAAAAACTAAAAAATAAAAGAAACTAGAAATAAAACAGAAAAGGAAAAGACAACAACCAAAAAAACACAAGGAACCCCCTCCCCCCCGCTGGGCCTTGGCCCAGCTAGGCCATCAGGCCAGCCCACCCGCGGCGAACCCCCCGGGCTACTAACCGCCCCACCACCCAAACCCTAGCGCCGCACCCTCCAACTCGCACCCCCCCACAACCCCTCTCGCTCCTCGCTCCTCCCCCCCACGATCGGATCTGGATCAGGGGGCAACCGACGCCCCCGACCCCCCG